TAGCCGAACCTCGTACAAGTGTGTGTACACCTCAAGGAGGTTTTTAAAGGGTTGTAATGCGGTTAGGCTAAAGGTTGAAGAAGAAGGGATAAAGGCTCAAGACCTAAATAAAATAAGCCCGCAAGATGTGCAACCTTGCATTTGAATCTTGATATTTGTATGCTAGAGGTTTCTCACTTTTGAACTTGTCTTGCCTTTTTTTTTTTTTTTTTTTGCATTTGAGATTGGTATTCGAATCTTCTTTGGATAAGTGTGTTCAATCCCGATCATGCGGTCTATCACTCACTTGACATTCATGTTTCTCAGGCACGGTGCCGAGCACTCGATAAGAGACGCAATGTGAGACATGTTCTTATCAACGACATTGGAACACTTGCCCTTTTGCACACTTTTATTGCTTTTTTGAACTTTTGAGACTTTGGCAAAAATCACTAAAGCTTTTGCTTTGAAAATTACATAAGTCGCACACCGTCCCATCCCAAGGTCAGGTAGATGTGGTTGAAGAAAGAAAGGCCAATCGTTAGACGAGGCTCAAAGTGGTTTATCAAGAAAGGATCATGTACTCGAAAGGGTGAAGGTGACATGATGTGGCTACAACGGGTGCCTCAAATCATTGGTATACCTTGTGTTTAGTTCGGCAATGATTTTTTTTTTTTTTTGTTAAAATGAAATGCAATGTAATGACCATATGCAAGAAAAGAAATACTCATTTTGTTGAAAATGGAAAGGATAAAAACAAACTCATAAATCTAAGAAAAAAGATGTAGGGTGCCTATGCTAGACTTATTAAGGGAAAGGGGAATCAAAAAAGAAAGAAGAAATCATGAAATCTTGTCATTGAAGCTCGCCTCGTGCTTTGTGCTTATAATCACTTGGCCTTTTTGTTGCTCGGAGGAACATGAAGGCAATTCGAATCAATGAGGTCTTGAATGCGATTCTTGAGGATGAAACATTTCTCAGTAGTGTGACCGTTGCCGCGATGGTATTTGCAATAGGAGTTTGGATCCAAATTAGGAGACCGTTTCTCAGGTGCTGGATCTTAGATTGGATCAATGGGATGAATGAAACCTTGGCCATTTAGATAGTTGAAAACTTCATTATAAGTCATTCCTAACGGTGTGTATTCGTCAATGGTCCGTTTTACCCGTGGCTTAGGAGCATTGAGTTTTTTCTTTAACCTTTGAAGGGAAGAAGGAGGAGGATGGTCGTTCTTTTCATTCTTCCAATCCCGGCGATGAGGGTTTAGTTCAATGACTGACATTCGATTCACAAGGTTTTCCATTAAACTTGCAAGATTGGTAATGGAATCTTGAACCTTATCAATGCCTTCTTTTAGATTTGCAAAGTTTTCCTCAGTGGCACCTAAGAAAATTTTTTCACCCTCCTCAATCATGGTCACTTCGTTAATGGAAGTTATATAGACTGCTTCAATCATAGGCTCGTCAATAGGTGTAATGAGGAGAGAAGGGTAAAAGGTTATTTGATCCTCTGTGATGGCTATAACCTCAGAAAGTTTGTTACCATCGATCAAATCTTGGATAGCTTCTTTGAGTTTACAACTTTCTTCAGTATCATGACCTCTTCTGATAGGCGTGTCGCGTACCTAACAAAAATAACCTAACAAGACCACTACTATGTAAACAGGCAAGTAAGGATCGAATCCCAAGAGACTAAGGTTCACCTAATTAAATAGACTCAAATAATCACTAAGCAAGTAACAATTAATGGTGAAATATTCTAAGAACTAATATATAAAGAACTCAATAAATCTAAAGAATGTGATAAATCAATGAACTTAAACATCCAAGATCAAGTATCACCACAGTTACGATCGATGTAATTATCTATCTACCCTAGCATACAAATCCAATTAACATGGGGAAAAGCAAACCCTAATCAATACCAAGGACCTCTCTCGAGTATCAATGGCTTCTCTAACCACAATCAATCCTATTCTCATGGAATCATGCAAATTAGAGACATTAAACATTTTATTTCGCTTCCCAATTATCAATTTAACTACTCTCGTGATGAATCTCAAACCCTAAATTGATCTACTCAAATCCGTTAAAACCCAACTCTCGTTGTGATTAGAACTATGGAATAATAACAATACTAATTATCTCTAATCTAGTATTGGCATAATCACAATCAATTTAGCATAAACAATTGCAATAGTTATTAGAGAATTTAAAGAATCAATTCATGCATCAATCATACTTGGGCTACCCTAGATCTTGGAATATAAAAACTACTCACCCATATTGAAATAAGCAATAGCAAAAATAATAAAAGAAAACATAATTAAGAACTTGAATCTTGAAATAAATGGAGATTGCAAAAGTAGAACTTGAATCTTGAATTACAAAAGCAACGTAAGAGTTTTAGAGAGAACAAGGTCTAAAAAGAAAATACTGGATCCCCCCAAATATAATAAAGTTTTGGGGTATTTATACTCCCAACAAAAAGATAAGAAAACGCAAGAAAGTTTTGCGCGTAATCTTCCTAAGAGGCACGGACATGCCTAAACTGGGCACGGACGTGCCTCACTTCGTGTAAGGTTCTTCTCATCTTCTGGACTCTAGGCACGGACGTGCCTAGATAAGGCACGGACGTGCCTCATATGCAAATTCGAAGTCAGCAGGGGCACGGACGTGCCTCACTTCCAGAGAGTTTTCTTCAGTTTCTGAGGACTAGGCACGGACGTGCCTAAACTGGGCACGGATGTGCCTAGCTTCCAGATTACTTCTTCTTTCTTTCTTCAATAATACATGGGTGTGCCTCTCTTAAACATGGTCGTGCTTGACTCCAAAAAGGCCTAAATGACTCGTTCTTCGACCAACGAGCTTCGTTAAAGTCCATGGGCCTCGGTTTAGTCTCATGACTTCATTAAAATCTCCATATTTGCTTCGTTAATCCTGAAATACATCAAAAACAACGAAACTACCCATAAAAGCATCGAATCATCGAAACTAAACCAAATCAAACCAAAATGGACTAAAATACTAAGCAAGACTAATAAAAACAACTAAAAAGAAGACAACAAACATGCACAAAACACGGCTTATCAAACTCCCCCAAGCTAAACCAATGCTTGTCCTCAAGCATTCAACCATGAATCACAACGGAGGAGCAAGATAACTTCTCAAATCATCATAATGTGCCATCATTTGAAATCAATAGAAAAGCAAAACTTAGAATCAAGGTGCATAAAACCACCATAAACCTCTTATACTCGGAATCGACAAACATTTTACCACACATCTCCCCAAACCAACTCACACAAACATGAATAGCTCTCACTTTAGTTGTGAAAAACAAAAACAATAAACGCTCATGTGTTTATGGGGTGAAATATGAGATCACTCAACTTAGGCATAGAATGCATGTCAACTTCACATGAATTGTCCTCTTTAGACTTGCAATGTGACTTTCTCCACTTTCAAACGTTGATGCAATTGCGAAAATCATGAATTCCAAAAAGGGTAAGCTTGGTTAATAGAGGGTTGGACGACGTTATTTGGGAATGTGGTGTTCAAGAGTATAGCAATTCCTAATCCCACTACACATTCAAATATCGGGTTCAAACCAACCCAATTTTCTCCAACTTCATACAATCTAAGCAAAGCCCTTTTCCTAATCCTTTTTTATAACTTGTAAAACAAAGGAATTTGTAACATTTTGACGAATTGGGAAGAATTTTAGAACTCCTCTTTGTTTTGAGGTATGGATATACGGAATTTTAAAACTTTTTTTATTCTTCCTTTTCTTTCTTTTCTATTTTTTTTCTTTTTCAATAATACTCAACCTTTTTTTTCACAAGTCACTTATAGGGCTTAAGCGAGTGTAATGCTCCTTCAAAAGAAACCTATTAAAAAAACGGCTCTATGGCTTTAAATGTAAGGTATCAAGAAAAGGGAAAAACACGACTCAAAGTGGCTCAACCTACGGGTGAATGCAAAAATAAAAAATAAAATTTATGCGGACCTAGAATGTTGAGGCTCTAATTTCTACAAAGGAAATTTCAATCACTTTTCCACAACATGCATCATCCAAGTCTCAAATAGTCAAAGAGCAAAACCAAGAATTCAACTATATGAAGGACAACTAATCACACATGAAAGAGTAAGACTGAGTTAGAGTGAAATCTGTAAAAGATGGCTCAAAAATCTAACCGGGTACACAAACTATTCACATAAGTAGAGCGGGGTGACCATCCTAGCCACAAACCTACTCAATTCCAAGCAAATTGGTAAATGGGTTTTCGAAAAGCTTTTCACAAAGCACACATGTATGATCATTATCATAGAAGCATAAGCGTGTAATGGCATATCAAAGACACTAATACGAAAGAAAAACTAACCAAACACTAAAAAAACTAATATATACATGGTGAAAAATGAACCTTAAATGAACCCTCCCCAAGCTAAAACATACATTGTCCTCAATGTATGCATAAATCAGTGAAAAATGGACAAGGGGAGAGGGGAACAGGTCTACTGATCGGGAGGGGTAAAATCATACCTCGGGGCGGAGCCAGAACCTTTTTGTTGTCTTGTTTTCTAGACACTAACAAAACAGGAAAATAAAAATAAAAAAAAAAGTAAAAGGGAAAAAAATAAAATAAAAAATAAATAAAATTAAATTAAATAAAAAGGAATGGGTTGCCTCCCATTTAGCGCTTGTTTAAGGTCTTAAGCTTGACCTTCTTTATTAGCTCCGCCTGGGTCACCACACAAAGAAGAAACTCCGCGATGTTGCCCATAAAAATATCCGCCTCCAAATGACACCTTCATTTTATATTTGACATGCTTTGTATCCGAACTTACCTTCATGTAGCTAAACACATCATTTGGTGGAATATTGTCCTCGTTTATCACAAAATTTCTACCAAATACACACTTATCAACCAAAGGGTTAGTAGTATCAATTCTTAAACAAGTACCACCATCAAATATAAAATTATGTTCATTAAAGAGCTTAAACATGACTTGTTTATTCTAGGCCCTAATGGTCACTTGTCCTTTAGGAACATCTATTAGAGCTTGACTTGTGGCAAGGACTGGACGACCGAATATAATCGGGATCTTATGGTCTTCTTTCATGTCCATAACAACAAAATCAATAGGAAAAACAAGTTCACCAACCTTAACTAATACATCCTCAACCACTCCCATAGGGAGTCTAGAAGTCCTATCAGCCATTTGAAGAGAAATAGGGGAAGGTTTAAGTTTTTGCAAACCCAATTTTTCATATAATGAATAAGGCATTAAATTAACACTAGCACCTAAATCACACAAAACCTTGTCGAATTTTTTTTCGTTTATCATATAGGGAATAGTAAAACTACCAGGATCATGCAGCTTAGGTGGTAGGATATCACATAAAAGAGTAGAGCCTTTCTCATTTACTACTTCCTTATCCTCATATTGATCTTTAATATTCTTCACAAAATTTGCAAATTGAGGCATTTGAATTAAAGATCGGAAAAAGGAATAGAAGCGTGTACCTTCTTAAGAGCTTCGCAGTATTTCCCAAAATGTCTATCGAGCACGGCTTTTGACAACCTTTGCGGGAAGGGCATCGGTTCCTCATAGGCCGATGGAGCAACATGTTTGGGACTTTTTACATCCTCACCCTGTTCATCTTTTCTTGGCCCCACATTGCATACTTTCTCATCTATTTTCCTCGGAAATAATTCATCTCTTCTCAAGAAAATTGCATTGCATTGCTCCTTTTGGACTTTTGCTTGATCATGAAGAGTTGATAAATGACTCACTTGTTGTGAAAGTTGAGAAAGGTGGGTGCGAACCTTGTTGTAAAATGTCCTCGTTTATTATATCCATTGCATTTAAACATTAAAAATTATTTTGATTTCTTTTTTCAACTAAAAATTTTATTCTCAAAGCTTTTTGATCATCTTTAAAAGGAAACATTATCTAATAAAGAAATTAAAGGAATATACTACGAAAATGAATTTGTGAGACATATGTAGCATGTACATGGCTTGAATTACATGGCTTGAATTCCCAACTTCAATTATCCTCCGTGAAATTCCTAAAATACAGGCACGTGAAATTATAAGGTATTCATTAGGTTAATTACTAGATGATCTTTACAATAATTTTAACGTACTTTTTGAATGTATAAGGAAAAAACAAACTTTTATTCGGAAAAAACTTGTGTGGACCTGGTTCACAATAATATTATTGTGGACCTAAGGTCCATACACACCAACCGACGTTATGTTGAATATAGTGACCCTAACTGTAATATAGCAACCTTTATTAAAACTTGTGTGACCTTTAATATTATTGTAAACTCGAGGTACACGATACACATGTCATCCGATGTTATGTTGGACATAATGATTTGACTCTAATTTTAACATAGTGACCATTATTATTCATACTGATTAGTATGTTAAAAACTTTTATATAAAAAAAATTAATTAACCTCTAATGACCTATATAATAACACAATGATTTTTATTTGCAAATTGCAAAATAACACCACAAGAAAATTTGAAAAATGGATTATAAACCACAAAAAATAGTTTTATTATAACACCACAAAAAAACACAAAAATTGGATTTCACCACCACTTAACGGATACTTGGATGAAATCCGTTAGTGAGACCCACAACAGACACATGTTAATAGCTTATTAGTTCAAAAATAAAAAATTAATAAGAAGAAAAATTAAAAAAAGCCCCCTAAACCCTAGCCCAACCCAGCCCCACCATCGGCAACCGTGACCCCCACCGCCAACAGCCCAACCTCAGCTTCCGACACCCCCTGACCCCACCTTAACTGTCGAAACCAGCCTAACCACCACCCCTAAAACCGGCGACTCCACGCCCCTTACCCCTCCCTAAAACCACCTAACCTCTTCAAACCATCGCAAAAATCACTCAGCCCCTTCGAATTCGGGGTATGGGTTTGGGGTCGATCGAGGGTTAGGGTCAAGGTGGATGGGAGAGGGGAAGGGGTACGGGTTAGGAGTAGGGGTTGCTCGTGGTTGTGGTGATGGTGGGTATAGGTTGTAGGGGTGAAGAGGGGATGGGGTACGGGTTAGGATTAGGGGTTAGTCTAGGCTTAGGGCTAGGTGTGGGTGGGTCTGGTGGTACGGGTTAGGATTAGGGGTGGGTAAGGGTTACGAGTTAGGATTAGGGGTGGGTTAGGGTTAGGGTTAGGGTTAGGTGTGTGTGGTGGTGGGTTTAGGTTGCAAGCTGGTTGGTTTGGGGAGAGAGAGGTGGGGTGGGGGCTGGTGGCAGCGAAGCAGTGGTGTAGGGTAGTGTAGTGCTTTTTTTGTTCTTTTTTTTTTATCGGATATCCGTCGAAAATCTCTGGCAGAAAACAGTCTGTCAAAAATTTTCGACAGACTTTACCATAGGAGAAACCCTGACTGACACCTGAATTTCCGTCGAAAAACCCGTTTTCGACAAAATTTTCATCGAAAAATTTCGAAAATTGACTGTTTTCTTGTAGTGAACTACAACATATGTATACTTGTTTTTTTAAGTGTAGGGTATGAAATTTTTTTTTTGTAAAATATGTCGAGGGTATAACTAATTTATTTGCCAATTTATACTCCATATTTGCACAGGGCCTCTAAAATGATTGGGATGACTCTATTAGTAGGTTCACTAATTGCTACTGATTAGGGGATTTTTATCCACCAATCACCGTCTAACAAGTGGACCAACCAGGTTCCGCCACGTGTCCTCCACGTAGGCCAATAGGAGCCTGCCACGTGTCAATCACAGATACGTCCTCTACGGACCAATTGAGACACGCCACGTGTCCACCCATGCCAAATGGGAAAACCGGCCACCCAGGCCCAACTTCCGAGGGAAGCCCAATCGGCCCTAGGTTTACCTAAACCTAGGATGGGCACGTTTCCCAAGGTTATAAATACCTCCCTTAATCCTCATTAAGGGGGGGGGGACAGAACAGAAACATTACGGAACACACTAATAACCGGCTGATCACGCTAACAAAGCAGATTACCTACATTAAACACTCTCACTTAGAGAGACCTTATTACTTTAATTTCCGCGTTAATTACTCCTTAATCAGGTACTAACTTGACCGTTGGAGGCGGAGCTCCCAGGAGTCTCCGTTATTTTGCAGGTACAGGCGTCCGGTTCCAGTCTCGGAATTGTAACTCTCCCGCAGGACATCAGAAAACCCTGAAACATTTGGCGCCGTCTGTGGGGAGAGTACTTCAGAGATGGCATCCAAGTCTGTACCGACTCCTGAAGAGAGGCGTCCCCTAAACGACCCTCAAGTTCAGTAGGACCATGACACCAAAAGTGAATTTGAAGTTGAAACTCATACAGCTTCAGACGGGACCCTAAGGGCCCGACGTACCCATCATACCGAAAGGAGGGAACGGGAGCATCTTCAAACAGGAAGCGAGCCGGCAGGCGCACCGCCTGTTCGGCAACAGCCGACTGATGGGTCTGCTCCCATCACAAGGAACGAACTCATAACCTTCATGAGGGACTTCAAGGGAGAGATTCAAGAGTTGATCAACAAGAAGCCGCCTGCTTCAGTCAAGGAGCAGTCGGCCAAGAAACCCTCCACTTGACTGAAGAGGAAGCCAGTTCAAGGGCGAGAGGCGACTCCTCATCCTAAATCTAGGAAGCGGGAGCCACCTGCCCTTGATTTCACAAAATTCCGTTATCCTACAGGAAATAGGAAACCGGTTCGTCATATTCAGGCGGACGGGTCAAAGCAAACATTCACAGATGCTCGGCTACTGCTAGAGCAGAAGAAGAGTGACTGATTGTCAGAGTCGGCTTCTACTTCAAACTTTCAAGACAGTTTGCGAAATGCCTCGATGAGGCATACTCAGTCGTACCATGAGAGTCAGTCAGGCGGCACCTCCCGTCAGTCCGGCTTTCATAGTGCCCAGGCGGTACCAAACTTACCATTTGTGCCGCAACAACAGTATTTTATGCAGCCACCTCCATTTGGTGGACCTACAGCAAAAAACGTCCAACCTATGGACTGGCAGCTACGGTTGCTTAGACTTGGTGAACAGCCGTCGGCCTTCTCCAAGGAAATTACTGACGCCGCTCAGCCGGCCAAAGTAAAAAATGTACTAGTAGGCGCCTATGACGGCACTACTAGCCCAGAAGACCATCTGATGGCATTCACCAACCTGATGTACCTTCAAGGGTTGGATGATCCCACTTGGTGCAAGTGTTTCCCAGCGACTCTCAAAGGAATCGCACAGCAATGGTTCGGCAACCTGCCGACTGGTTGTGTAAATAGCTTCAGGACGCTTGCTTACTTATTTGCCTCCAACTTCGCCATGAACATCCCTGCGAAGAAAACGACCCTTGATTTGGGAACAATTCAGCAGGGCGAGAAGGAGGGGCTTCGTTCTTACATCAGGCGGTTTAACCTGATGAGAATACAGATTCAAGGGTTACCGGATGAGGTAGCTTATACCGACTTTTTTAGAGGTCTCAAAGACGGGTCTACCTTCAAATTTGATTTGGTTCGAAAAAGGGTGGCGACTCTTCAAGAGGCCTTGATTGAAGCAGAAGCCTATATACAGGCGACTGATCTGTGTACGATAAAACAGTCGGACGGGAAAAGGTTTGACAAAAGAGAAGGACGACAGAAACAGTCGTCAAACAAAGATGAGAAAAGAAAAGAGGTCTGGGCGGCTGATTCCTCTTAACAGCCGGCCCAGAAAAAGAAAAAAGAATTCAAACCATACTCCCCAAAGTATGCGTTTAACAAGGATAACCAGTTTATCCTAAAAGAAATTAAGGGACGGATCTCAATTGAGAAGCCGGTCCCCATGAAGGGTTCTGCAAACAACCGAAACCAAGATAAAATCTGTGCTTATCATGATGACGTTGGTCATCACACCAATGACTGCATCAGTCTTATGCGGTACCTAGACCGCCTGGCTGAGCAAGGTGATCTTGACACTTATGTCAAGAAATCTACGGGGAACACTTCCTCAAAAAAGTTGTCGGCCAAAAAGAATCAACAGGCCGACAGCTCCGATACAGATGATGCAGTCGTCTACACCATTGCAGGCGGCTTCTCAGGAGGCGGTCCCACTATTAGGGGCAACAAAGATAATATAAGGCGGTTAGATGTAAATTCCGTTCACCAAGAACGGCCGTCCAAATATACATTTCCTGAGATTGTCATCACTGAAGAGGATCTAGGAGGGGTAAGGGGGCCGCATGACGACCCTCTCGTTATTGAATGTAAAGTGGCCAACCAGAGAGTTGGCCGAATCCTCATAGATACCGGGAGCTCCTCAGATCTCATCAGCAGCAAATGTCTGTCGAAACTAAAATATCAGACAGACTGCATACATCCGGCCTCCCACCCTTTAATAGGGTTTGGAGGAGGAGTCGTCCACCCACTGGGACGAGTAGATTTACCCATTCGCCTGGGCGAAAAAGGGGAAGGACGACACATGGTAGTCCGG